TAAATGTATAAAATAAAAATGTCAAAATGTATTTTAAATGTATACGATTTTATGTTTTTTAATTAAATCTTATGCTTTTGTTTTAAAATAAAAATGTTTAATTTTTATATATATATATATATATATATATAAATAAATACATAATGTTATTTCTATTAGGTTTTATTAGAAAAAAATCTAACTGTATGTATATATATATATATATATATATATATAATGTTATAAATTAATGTTCTTATGCCGATGTAAATATATAAAACTAATCTGTCAATTGTCAAAATTTTGAGACTGTGAACGTTGTTTTTTTATTTTATTTTATTTATAAATATAAATCATTGGGTTAAAAACGTAATTTGAAAATTTAACCCAATGCTGGGTTTTTCCATATTTGACCAAAAATTGGGTTAAAACAACCCAGCATTCTTTTAGAGTGATGTCAAAATTGTATTAAAATTTATTCTATTTTATGAATTTTAATTTAAATGTTTTTTTAATTAAATCTTATATTTTTGTTTTGAAAATAAACATTATTAAAAATAGCATTTAATAAAATAAAATAATGTATGTAAATAAATACATAATTTTATTTCTATTATCATTTTATTAGAAACAATATTAAAATGAATATAGCCTATATAAATATATAAAAATAAATATAAAAAATGTATACAATTTTACCTTTATTGTTTTCAATTAAATCTTATGTTTCTGTTTTAAATATATATATATATATATATATATATATTATATAAATAAATACATAATTTTATTTCTATTAGATTTAATTAGAAAAAAAATCAAAATGAATATATATATTATATATATATATAAATGTTATAAATTAATGTTCTTATACCGATGCAAATATATAAAACTAATCTGTCAGTCGTCAAAATCCATCAAAAATCCAGAGACTATGAACGTTGTTTTTTTATTTTACAAATATAAATCATATATTCCACTACAATTGCATTAAATATGGTGTAAAATCAAAGTTTTGTTGCTATTTCTTAATTTTACAAATGAACATTATAAAATAATATGAATCAACACCATGCTCTGGTTAGGATCATCATCTGCATATATTCACACTGAATTTCTACATCTTTAATCTATGTTGGTAACTTCATTGCGACCGATGAGCAGGTCTGGAGTCAGTTCTCTCTCTCTCCACTGTGCACCTGTTGTGATCTCTTCAGGAATTCCCTCTTCCACGTCGCTCGCTGCGGGACAAACAGGGGTCCTGAAGGTGAAGGGTCTTTCTATCTGTGTTCCTCTGTAGAGGTCTCAGACCCCTGCCCCGTGTGTGTCGCCCCGGGGGAGAGCGGCTTTTGTGTGCCGATGCCCCTGCAAGCTGGACAGACAGATGCTGTGGAGTGGTCATCATCTCCACACACCAACACACACGCGCCTCAAAGCTCCCGCGACTCCCTCTGTTACACAGGCAAACTTTAATGAAGACGGCCACTCCAGAGCCAATGTGTCATTATTCAGGGTTATGGAGGACGAGGACTTGTTTAATGCGCGTTTAATGTTTTTTTGATGCTGAACTCTTCGTACGATGCTCAAACAGTACATTATAGTGAGCCTTATTGAAGCACATTGTTCAAAAGTTGTTGTTTCATGCAGAGAAATGTTCATTTTGCTTTAACATCTCAACACGCATGCAAACTACAATCTACTTTCCTGTAAACTGACTATATATATATGTATATAGGGATTATATATATGATTATCTGTGTATATATATATATATATAAAGGGATTATATATGATTATATATGGATATGTCTGTGTGTTTGTGTATGTGTATATATATATATATATTACAATTAAATAAAGGTAAATGTAAATATGTTTGGCTTGCTAGTTTGCATTATTTCTAACAAAAGGTGCGCTCTAAAAATGCTGGGTTGTTTTAACCCAACTTTGGGTCAAATATGGACAAACCCAAACGCTGGGTTAAAAATGTAATTAAAAAATGTAACCCAATGGTTGGGTTTATCCATATTTGACCCAAAGTTGGGTTAAAACAACCCAGAGTGCATGCAATTCTCCGCCAAACAACCTCATAAATTAAACGAAAAAGAAAAGCATATTGCATGTGTATTAACCCACATCAGGATGTCAGCATCCACACACACACACACACACATGTCTCTGTTTTCTTGCTGCAGAAGCAGATCTGTGTGATAATGCCATTGTGTGGATGAATCTAATGACGCCTGTTGGTGTGTTATTTAGGCAGCACAGGGGTCATAAGGAGTGTGTGTGTGTGTACGTGTGTGACTGATATAATAAAAGCAGCACGCGGGTCATTAGGAGTGTGTGTTCAGTTGGTTCCCATGCTCTGAACTAAAGCTGGACAGCAGGGCTGTGCTTTCACACAAACACACACACACACACACATCATGGCACACGCCTGTTGACTGAGGCACAAAAAAAAGTGTGTGACATTGCTGTGCCCTGGCGCCCCTCTGCATCCCCTATGTCTTTTCTCATCCCTCCCCTCCCACCCTCATCCTTTCTCTCTCTCTCTCTCTCTCTCTCTCTCTCTCTATCTCGAGCGTCCCTCCCCAGCTTAGAGCCCCGTGTCCCTCAGAGACCGTCCTCTCCTAATCACTTTACCCATCAGATGATCCGGCCCCTTATTTCACACCGAGACTATTAAGATAGAGTCCTCCTATAACACACACACACACACATGCACACACACACATCCATGCCCACAGACACACACTAATATATAAATTAATGAGCAACCCAGTCAATTAATGGGAAACCGGTCATAAAATGCCTGTCATATTTCACCTCAATAAATAAATTAATTAATTTTACAACTATTACCTTTTTAAAATGACAATTAAACAATTATTAGGAAGAAACAAACTATATATATATATATATATATATATATATATAGTTAAACACAAACTTTTATTTTGGATATATATATATATATATATATATATATATATCCAAAATAAAAGTTTGTGTTTACATAATATATGGGTGAGTGCTGTGTATAATTATTTTGTATATAAATAAATACACACACATGCATGTATATGTAAGAAAAAAAATGTATTTATATAAAAAGTATTTATATTTATATATAAATCTATATACAGTATATACATGAAAATATTTCTTAAATATATACAAGCATGTGTGTGTATTTATTTATATAAAATAATTATACACAGTGCACCCACATATATTATGTAAACACAAACTTTTATTTTGGATGCGATTAATCGTTTGACAGCCCTACTATATATACAGTATATAAATAAATTGATGAGTAACCCAGTCAATTAATAAGAATGTATATGAAATGTATATATTGTTTTTTGTTTTATTGAACTATTTCGCATAAAGAAAATGAACCCTGATTTTAAAACTATTATGTTTTATGCCATTATTTAATTATTATACAAAAACAATAATAATTCAATTGATCACGTAATAATGAGTTGCAAATTATTTATGTATCATGATAGTATCGGTTGATCTGCTTTTAATTTATGCTGACTTACAGTCATATCTATTTTGTAACTCCGTATAAAAATGACTATATTACAGTTATGAGGATTTAAGAAGAATCATCATTCAGAATAAAATAAATAAAAAATGCTTTACGCTTTTTTACGTAACATGTTGCATCATAGTAATAAGAATGAGAAAAAACTGCAGATTTATAGTATTTTTTGCATCATGATGAGATTTATTTATTGCAGTAATTATGTAGAATTGCTTAATTGCCATGACAATAATGTTGCAGAGTGAATCCGAATAGTCCTAAAACAGGATTTCTGCTTCATGCAAAATATTATGTAAAATATATAATATAAATATAGTCGGATTTGCTAGGAATTTTAGGTTGGAATATGATGGGATATGATGTATATGATCATATTTACATGACATTCACTGTCTAAATGTGTGTGTGTTGACGCAGATGCGTCTCTACACACACAATGCTTTCCCTCAGGACCTGCAGTAGTGTGTGTGTGCGTGAGAGAGTGTGCATGTTTGAGTATGTGAGTGTGTGTGTTGATATCAGCTCTTATCTGGCCATGATCTGACGGCTGCTTGATGGACTTGTAGTCAGCAAATGAGTTTTCAGCCAATCTCTGTGTGTGTCAGTGTGTGCACACGTAGTGATCAGGGGCGTGAGGTGCCTTTGATGGTGTGATATACGTGTGTGTGTGTGTGTGTGCGTGTGTGTATGAGGGCGGCTGCCAGGGTCAGCTCTGTCCTGGGAAAGTTGAGCTCTCCATTTACACCAGCACATGTTGAGGCCTTCTGGTGGTGCATGAGCGAACGGCGGACAGATGGCAGCAGATTCACTGCAAACACACACACACACACACACACACACACACACACAGAGGGTGAGGAGGAGCCGGAAGATAGATGGAGGAGAAGGAGGAGAGACAGGGATGAGCTTGCTGTGATTGAGAAGCAGATATGAAGTCCAAACATGTTTATTGGCTAAATTAGCATTAGCAATGTTTGCTTTGAGTGAAGATAGGCTACAGTTCTGCAAGGACAAACTTGTTCTCATGCCACTTTTTATACACTTTTTGAGAGAATCGACGAGCACATGTCTTTTACTTGTTTATACAATGCAGTTTAGACTGAGTAAGCAAGTCTTCGTTACCCATAGCAACGAGCTGTCTGTCACACGTCACCGCATCCTTGACCTTTCACATCGTTTATCACATGACCTCATATTTTATTCAGGAGATATTTGCGCATTTGAAGTTATCTATCTATCTATCTATCTATCTATCTATCTATCTATCTATCTATCTATCTATCTATCTATCTATCTATCTATCTATCTATCTATCTATCTATCTATCTATCTATCTATCTATCTCGTACTTTTGGTGTGCTTTTTTAGCGCAAAACAAGTGTTGACTTTAGAGGGAAAAGTACCTTTCTATTGTTTCCTCGAAGTTCTCTGTTGTCCGCGGGTGTGTGAAACGCAACACTGAGCGCATGTGTCGTGCATTAATCCTCTTAGTTACTGGAGCAGATGCTCGGCTGTCAATCAACCTGGCGCGGGTGCGCGCGCTCGAACTTGACTTGAGAGCGCGAGAGAACACAGCAGGTGCGCGAGCGATCCCGCGCCATCATTTAGCGATGCAGGAATGGTAAATAAAGTAGTTTTTTTTATACAAACCGTGTCTTGACAACAGCAACAGACTTGTTTTGCGCCACTAAAATTTGAATTTGTTAAACGCGATGCCGTCGCAGGATGAGTCTGCGCCGGTAAATGAAGACGGTCTCCCGCCTCCGGTTCCACCCCGAGCGACGCTCCAGCGCGACACTCCGGCGTCGGCCAACGCACCTGAGCGCAGGGTCAAGTGTGTGCTTGTCGGGGATGGAGCGGTGGGCAAAACCAGTCTGATCGTCAGCTACACCACTAACGGATATCCGACTGAACACATTCCCACCGCCTTCGACAACTTCACAGGTAAAACCCCTCATCAGATATCCTGACGGACTCTAGAAGTGTGCACGTGCCTGATCGCTTTTACATTTCATAATACAGTTAAACATAGTAAACATATGGGCTAGAATAATGCACTTTTTGACATCGCATAGCCTACTTGATCATTTCCCTGGCAATTAGGCTACTCATTAATACTTATAGCTCAGCTTTATTATTTATTACAAATTTATTAACATACGTGTTTCACTGTTTTAGCAAGGGTTGTGGTGGATGGGAGACAAGTTCAACTTCAACTGTGTGACATGGCAGGACAGGTGACTATCTATCTATCTATCTATCTATCTATCTATCTATCTATCTATCTATCTATCTATCTATCTATCTATCTATCTATCTATCTATCTATCTATCTATCTATTTTTTTCTGTCTTATCCATCCATCATTTTATGATTCTATCTATCTATCTATCTATCTATCTATCTATCTATCTATCTATCTATCTATCTATCTATCAGCAGTTTGTCATGATGGATGGTTTGTCTTTCTCTCTCTGTACTTTGATTGGCAGAAATGGGGGGCGGCGGATCAGCATCTAAATGTAAGCAACAGGATGTGACCAATGAGCGCCACCTAGTTTAGACTTAGATCCTTGGGTTCTCTTAGGACTGTGAGTCCTGTAGATGTTTGTGACTGTCAAATAGATCGACTCTGTGATGTGTTCAACACATAGTCCTAGAACTTCCACATCTGGCTGATGAAACGTCACCGCTATAACTCATCGTTTGACATATTTACTGGCATATCTTGTGTTATAAATAGGAAAGCACTTGCAACTTAGGTGGTTCACGAGTTCACCTGCCCGTTCAGCCTTGACGGTTAATAGTAAACTAACTTGGCTTGCTGTCCTGGGGAGGAGGAAGAGTTTGTCAATGAGATAACGTGGTGTCTGCAGCTTATATAGTATGCTCGTAATGATGGTTGACAGGACTGAATGTTTAGGCTCCTCCTGAACCGACATTTTGAACTTCATTTAAAGAAAAGTGCATTAACATAAAAGTGGTTTTGTCTGGTGCATGATAAATATCACAATATTTGAATTATTAACTTATTAGGTTTTAGCTGGAAGGATGCATGATAAATCAGCCACCATATCGGTATCGGCCGATATATGCACATTTTTAATGTTATCCTTATCGGCCCAATAAGAAAATGTGGCCGATATATTAAAGCCGATAAATAATATATTATTTCCTTCAACTGAGACACCTCAGATGCGCACTGTTCAACATGATGGTTTTGAATTGCTTAAAATATGATTTAAAGATGCATTGCGCAACATTTGGCATATCGGCTAAAAGCATTGTAAATGTGTGCTTTGTAATTGTGAGACTTTTGTTCTTGTAATCACGTGAATTTAGATTTATCGGCCGATATATCGGCCTCCCAATCTAAAGAATTATCGGTTATCGTATTTGCCAAATTTTTCATCTGAGTTCATTATAGTTAAGCTCTCACACTCTTTTCCTGATGTTTAACAGGACGAGTTTGATCGGCTTCGTCCTCTCTGTTACCGCGATGCTGACGTGTTCCTGCTCTGCTACAGCGTGGTTCTCCCATCCTCCTTCAGGAGCGTGACGGACCGCTGGGCCCCCGAGGTTCGTCGCCTCTGTCCCGGTGTTCCCATCATCCTCGTGGGCACCCAGTGCGACCTGCGGGAGGACGTCCAGGTGCTGATTCGACTCGCAGGCGTCCAGGAGAAACCGGTGAGCAGAGACGAGGCCCGCCTGTGCGCGCGGAGCATCGGTGCCGGGACTTTCGTCGAGTGCTCCGCGCTGACGCAGAAGAACCTCAAGGAAGTGTTTGACGGCGCCATCTTGGCGAGCATGCGGCGCGCGGACGAGCCGAGGATGCTCACGCTGAGGGAGAAAACTCCAGATAAAATCAAACAGCTCTCGAACACATGGTGGAAGAAGCTGAGCTGCGTCCAGGGCTTTGAGCTTCAGTGACGGCGGTTCTCGTTGAAGACAGTTTAAAGTCAAGTCAAGATGAAATGCGACGCATTTAACATTTAACTGTGATGTATTTCTAAATCAAACAGGATATTCGACGAGAAACGTTGTCAGGGTCTGAAATTGAACGGATCATCTTTTTGGAGGCAAACCAAATATATATTTTCATACACATTACAGTGACAAGCATTTTTTTTGTAATAACGTGGAGTTAATCATGCACAAACTACACAAAAATGTGCGTTAAGAAAGAAAATGTTGACTCAAGGACATTTTATTTTATACAAAATTATCATTTCCTAAGTAAATATTTTAAGCAATGATGAAGAGTTCAGAGACATTAATAATGACATCAGATATATTAATACATTATTGTATTGTATTTATTTACAGAAAATGAATCATTTTTATTGTATACTTTTTGTAAAAGCCCTTGTGGTTGGAGTAAGAGAAGAGAAAAGGATTGGAAACAATATATAGACATATGTTGAAATTATATATTATTATTAGAGAATAGTAGAGCCAGACCGATATATCGGCAGGCCGATATTATCGGCCGATATTAGGCATTTTCTAAAATATCGGTATCGGCAGTTATAATGGCCGATGAATTAATATTTCAAAAATAAAATAAAAACGGACGAATCACGCAGCTTATAACTATAAGGCAATGTAGGGGCTAATTATTATTTTATTTATCAGAACTTTAATATATATTTTGATGTTCCTCTGTTCTGTTGTGACAATAGAAACAAGTTTATTTTTAAAATGCATTATCATATTATTTTAGTTAAAACTCATAAATAACTACAAATAACTAATGTTAGGGAAATCTGTCAATATTTTGTTGTGCGTTTCTGAAATAATAATATAATAATAATAATAATATCGGCCGATATATCGGAATATCGGATTTTAAAACCAACAAATATTTGTATCGGTATCGGCCTTCAAAATCCTTTATCGGTCTGGCTCTAGAGAATAGTAGAAATTAATATATATATATATATATAGCAACACTTTACAAAAGTTGTGTTCATGTAAGTTCATAAAAATGTTCATATTATTTCACAGTACATTAACTAATTTGTTTAACACATCTTTTGATCTTAAAAATGTATTTGTAAATGTTGAGATCAAGATTATTAAATGCTGTAAAAGTGTTGTTAGCCTTGTTAACTAATGTTAACTAACAAACCCTTATTGTAAAGTGTTACCATATACTTGTATATACTGTATATATATATATATATATATATATATATATGAAGAGTTCAGATGCAAAAGCCTCTAAATGCCATTTGAAATTTTCTTCTTTAATGATGATTTTTATCAAACTTGTATATTTAAGTTCAGTAATTTCACTTAAATAACAATTAATAGGTAATTATCATTGCCATTTAAGTGAAATCACTGAACTTAAATATACAAGCTTGATAAAAATGATCATTAAAGAAGAAAATTTCAAATGGCACTTAGAGGCTTTTGCATCTGAACTCTTCATATATATATATATATATATATATATATATATAGCGTAACCTGTAACATGTTGTGTATACGTGTGCGTGAGCCGGTAGTGTGTGTGTGTGTTTTGGCCCAGTACCCTTGATTTGTAGCAGTGGATTATCTGATGAACAGACTGAAGGAGAGGGATTTGACGTCTGCATTACACCTGCTGTACTCCTGTTTTGTTTACAACTTCACTTCTACTGTTTACTTCATTTTGTACGCAAGACGAGTGTGATATTAAACGTGTTTTAAAAGATTTCGAAATGCATGTGTTAGCATGTTTTAAATGAAACCACTAGAGGTAGATTTGCGTCAAGGAAAATGAACTTGGCCCGTTCAGACGGCCCTGTCAAAGGTCTGAATGGCACTAAAGCCTTTAATCAGATCTGATTCTTTTACATTATTGTGCTACTCTTTTCCCTCGGCAATCTGGGACTGTCACGGCGGGACGTAATTGCCGTCGTCACAGAATAACAATTACCCGCACAATGACACTCACTGCAGGCTTCAGCCTCTGAGTGGATCTGACCACTGAAATCACACAAAACCCTCTGAACAGCAGCGTTTAGCCTCTAATGTCCCACTCACAGGTGCTCGTGCTGTAAAATGTGGAAATGTATTGCGTTTAATGCATTTAGTGATGTATAAACTCCTGAACTTGATTTTGAATGGTGGAGCCTAAAGCTGTCTGATTTGTGACATGGTGCATTATCCTGCTGGAAGTAGCCATCAGAGGATGGGGACATGGTGGCCATAAAGGGATGGACATGGTCAGAAACAATGCTCAGGTAGGCCGTGGCATTTAAACGATGCCCAATTGGCACTAAAGTGTGCCAGGAAAACATCCCCCACACCATTACACCACCACCACCAGCCTGCACAGTGGTAACAAGGCATGATGGGTCCATGTTCTCATTCTGACTCTACCATCAGAATGTCTCAACAGAAATCGAGACTCATCAGACCAGGCAACATTTTTCCAGTCTTCAACTGTCCCATTTTGGTGAGCTCTTGCAAATTGTCGCCTCTTTTTTCTATTTGTAGTGGAGATGAGTGGTACCCGGTGGGGTCTTCTGCTGTTGTAGCCCATCCGCCTCAAGGTTGTGCGTGTTGTGTCTTTTTCACAAATGCTTTGCTGGATACCTCGGTTGTAACGAGTGGTTATTTTAGTCAAAGTTGCTCTTCTATCAGCTTGAATCAGTCGGCCCATTCTCCTCTGACCTCGAGCACCAACAAGGCATTTTCGCCCACAGGACTGCCGCATACTGGATGTTTTTCCCCTTTCACAGCATTCTTTGTAAACCCTAGAAATGGTTGTGTATGAAAATCCCAGTAACTGAGCAGATTGTGAACAACCATGCCACGCTCAAAATGGCTTAAATCGCCTTTCTTTCCCATTCTGACATTCAGTTTGGAGTTCAGGAGATTGTCTTGAGCAGGACCACACCCCTAAATGCACTGAAGCAACTGCCATTCGATTGGTTGACTAGATAATTGCATTAATGAGAACAGGTGTTCCTAATAATCCTTTAGATGAGTGTGTGTGAGTATATATAGACCATTTCACAAGATGTAAACAACACTGGTCCAGAAGCACTTCCTTTTTCAGTTTTTTTAACACTACATAAAAGCTGGGATAAAATACAACCAACAGAACATTTAAAACTGAATCAAAAAGTTAAACAAACATCTTTAAGATGTTTTCTTTACATGTGAAATAAAGAAAACAGTTACAAACTGAAACAGGAAGTCTATATATGTAGTGTGTGTGTGTGTGTGTGTGTACATATACACACACAAATATATATAGGCCTATACAAACTTTTATGTTAGATGTGGTTATTCACAAACAATTGATTTGACAGCACTAATAAAAACTCACTCAAAGTTACTTTGTTGTGGCAGGCGGTCAGATCGGCTCCTGTGTCTTAGTTGATCCTAACAGGTCGAGACAGACGCCACCTGTGGGAATTAGGCGGGCAGATGGCGACTGCTTTTCCCTTCATAGGATCTCTTGACCTCAACCTCCACCTGCTGCAGAAATCATGCTGGAATAACATCAGTACAACAGGCCTTGAGACGAGAGCTGCCGAAAATCAAGGTTTTCAATGTGACACACACATGAAAGTGGTCGATTATTCATTTAATAGCTCGATGGTGGTGATGCTGCATATTTTTTGTCTCAAAAAGCCATAATTGGGAACAATATAATTTTCTTTACGCATTTAATAGACTGTTATTGTCAGTATGTGTTGAATCTAAGGCTTTAATTGTCTCTTTAAATGTGCTAGTATCACGTGCTCCTAAAAGCAGAACCAGAGTATTAATGGAGCTCCACCTGTAGAGGACGCTGTTCAGTAACATCCTGAACATCAGGGCTGCACATTAGAGGCACCAATGCTTACACACGGCTCCATTCAGACGGGACAGTGGTTTAGATCTGGACAGACAGGAGGATAGATGTTCATCACATGTGGAATAATACTGGACACACTGACTGACAGGTCAGCACAACAGCTCTCACCCTCACCTCGGGGTTCAACACACTGGATTTAAAAATGGTTTTAAAAAATCCATTCTATTTTTCTAATTTAATTGAATGCCAACACTCTAAAAATGCTGGTTGTTTTAACCCGACTTTGGGTCAAATATGCACAAACCCAAACGTTGGGTTAAAAATGTAATTTAAAAAATTAACCCAATGGCTGGGTTCGTCCATATTTGACCCAAAGTTGGGTTAAAACGACCAGCATTTTTAGAGTGTTGGCATTCAATTAAATTGGAAAAATAGAATGGATTTAAAAAAAAAAAAACAATAATGAAGGATTTATATCACTTTTCACATTAAAAAGTAAATCTAAAACAGCTGTACAGTGACAGTGTCCAAAACTGTTTACAAAACAGTTTATCCTAAAACCCAAGTTATTTAATTTAATGGCCCATTCACATCAGTCGATAACTATGAAGGTATAAGTTAGTTCTAAAATCGCTCTAAATAAAAGAATAGCAGTCCACAACACAACGCACAGAGAAATTACAGCCAATCAGAATCCATTTCGCTTTAAATAGCGCGAGACTTTGAGCTGCGCTATGAATTAACAGAACTTTATCGCATGGTGTGGACGATAATTTAGTAATATTGTTATGGTTATCTTTAGTTATTATTATTGGTATGAACTGGCCTTAAAATAGATGTGTGGTGTGTGTAATATTTGGGTTTTCAACATGATACGCTGTGAAATTTGAAATCGTTGCTTTCTAACGGTTGTCTGTTACGTCAAACAGGTAAACTAATATATCATTAGCATTTAGTTGTAGGAAAGCTTGACTCATTTTATTATCTAGGCTATTAATAATCTATGAATTATTAACTTTGAGTTCAATACTGCTGTGTGTATCATGCTTTCAAATAGTTATATAAATGAGGGATTTTTTTCAACTTCGTTATTGTTATTTAGCTAGTTTTAAATGTGCTGACTACAGATAGCCTAGCTTCTCTGAGTCTGAATACATTCTTGTCAGATGTTAAATAGACATTCAGAAAATGTCTTCAAATGTTTATGATTTAGAATGTATGCAAAACTGCTCTTTTAAAAATAATATGTTTATCAAATGTTTTGTATACAGATGTTTTCCAGATCAAGTGCTCTTTAACAGACATGATATTGGAGACGTATATATGCGCTATCTTCATAATCTGCTCTCTATAAAGTTCCAGGTCCAGTGGTCGACAGAAGCTCGGGTTGGTGAAGATCAGTGTGGACAGGTGTGATATGGAAACAGCTGCTCTTCTTCTGGTTAATGGTCTTCATCAGCATCGCCCAGGATCTGCTGTGTGTGTAACGGGAAGGAGATGAAGGAGGTGGGTAAGTGTAACACGAGTGTCTAAAGTTTCAAACCTTAGGGCAGCTTCTGATTGAAAAACCCCAACACATGTTTGTTTAGACACAGTATACCAGTAAAACACAACTCTTCTCTGGTGACGCACACTTTCTAGCACATCTCCCAGCACACACACATTCGTTTTCTGTCCACCGCGCTTCACAGACATGCAGCTGTCAGTGAGATTAGACTTTTAGCAGGTGTCTATATATAGAGCCGGTTAAACAGATCACAATGGCACGTCAGCACTTCGGATCACGCTGTTTAACAGCCTAGAAAACAAAGACATGCATTACATCACGACGTGATCCAGACCTCCGAGCTGTGTGCTGTCCGTCAGCAGGTCCAGACGAAACCTCAGCTGGTCTCTGGGGTGGCGAGAGGATTTGGACTGTGCTGTGGATGACAGTTTATGGCATATGTGAAGAAACTCTTATTAGAGAACCAGCTGAAGTGTTGACATTAACCACACACACATAGTGAGATCCAAAAGAGCACACTGGAAACCTGTAGTCTTCTTTTATTCAGGGTTCGTACAAGATGTCTAAAGTGTTTTAAATACTTGAATTACATTTTTTATTTATTTTAAAAACAGCCATATTTACGAAAAGATACTTGACAAGTGCTTGATTCATTCATAAAACGCTCTTTTCACACAAAATCAACGCTGCAGCCCGTCTGATATAGGCTACATATAGAGCTATTTTGCATGCTTATGAGCTTGATATTGCTCATATTAATATCCCAGTATAGGATGCATCTTTTATTCTTCAGGTCAATCATATATTCATGGAATCAAAAAACCAGTTTGAATAAGGAAAGCAATATCAATGGTTAAAGTTTCCACGGTCATTGCACTTTATTTGTACCATTTTGTTTCATTAGTTAATTTTTGTTCATATATTTACCTTTTTAGAATTTGAAAGACTTTAAAGATAAGTGAGATCTCTGATCGTAGTCCTTAAAAAGCAAAAAGTAGTGCTTGAAAGTCTGTACGAACCCTCATTCTTGACTTATCTTTTTTTTCTCTCGTAGTTTTGACAATAGATGAACGGTTAAATGAGCGATCGTGAAATGAGTCCCTGTAGTCGCCCATTTTGACCCTCATATGCTGATGAAAGATTCAGGAATTTCAATCAAATGTAGCTTGATCACTATAATCTCTGTTGTTTACAAGATTAAGGCAATTATCAAAGTTTTCCATCAGATTTTGACTCATATTGTGATTTATGAACAGAATATCAGAGGGACATGACGTTACTCAAACATAGTTTATTCACTGCAATGCATTATTAGGAGTATTTCTGTTCTGCAAATGAAAATATGTCCTCAAATACAATTACAGTGGTCAAAATGTAAACATTGCTGAGGAGAATCCACAAATTAGCATATTTTATATACTTCATTCAAGAACGTCATTGTGATTAGCCTTAAACTGAGTGAGTTTTCTTTCATAAAATCACAAGCAAGTGAATAACTGAATAAATAAGTAAGTCCAGATAACAGGCAAACAATTATTAAGATTAACATTTCTTCAAACAAACATTAAGTTTCAAGTAAAGCGTCACGGCTCATTCAAAGTGTCTACGACATGACCAGTGTGGATGCATTTTAATATCACAGAGAAGCAAAAAAATATATACATGTGAGCAAATATTCAGTTTCATATCAAATCTGTGCTCAGAAAAATAATGATTTACACAGTTGAAATTATCACATTCACGAGAATCAAAAGATGGCATTCAACTAGCCCTCAATTATGTTTCCATCTAAAAATATTATAGATGTGACATCTGTGTGCAAAGAGTGGATTAAAAGGATGTTTTTTGGAGATTGGTGAGGAAAACACACTTCTCGTGACTTGCAAAAGTACATAGCACAGCACTAACACGGCCTCTCAAACACCAAATCACTGAGACCATGTGATCAAACAAACCAAATATCAGTCAATCACATTCAGAAGAACGACATTTATCAGCTGACGCGTTTATGACGTCTAGAATAACGATCAACAACAATCATCTGAGTCATGAACACATATCGAATGTTTGGTCCACTCAAATTATCCCTGCAGCCCATGTTTAGAAGCTCTGAAACCTTTTTACAACGACGTCAAACACTGGATCGGGAATAAAATGACAATCGAAACGGTGAATATGAAAATATTAAAAACAATATCAAATGTGTTTTAGTAGTTAAATGTTTGGTCCTGGTATGCATTCATGAGAAAGTGATTGTAGCCAGCATCAAAAAATATTAATTATTTTTATATTTAATGAATAATCTCTGTATTTTTATTTTAAAGAAATGCATGTAACCTCAGTTTACTCTTCTGTAACGGTCCTGTGGTGCTGGTTTGGGATCTGTTTCCTGCCGCCTCGCGTCTAATCCACTGATCCTGGATCAGCCTCTACCTCAGTCGAGCAGAGAAGCAGCGCATGTACTCCGTCATCCAGCGCTCGTCCGTCACGCTCAGGGCTGACCTCCGGGCCTTCTCCAGGTCAGCTGACCTCGCCCTCCGGTGCTCTGACGCCCGCACACCTTTTTTAGACTCTCTTCGTGTCTGGACGCCCACGTCGGCCTGATGAATCTGGAATTTAAATCAGATGTATTCTGATTCAGCTCACTTGCAGTTTTCTGCAGTGACGAGAAACAACTTTTGTTTAACCTACTGAACCTTTGTAAACCAGAGAAGGATATCACTGCTCCAGGCTGAATAATTCACCGCAGCGTCATGTCTCACTCGCTGCTTCATTCCACTGATTAGGACACCACTGTTTAGCCACTTCAAAATAACCCTCTTTTTATGCACAATTTATTCAAATCTGTTAAAAACACACTCGTGTTCGCTTCTGCTAATGGCTAACCATAAAGGGAAAAAGTTATGCGTGTAAACAAAATATAAATATATATATATTTTAAATATATTGGGCAATATAAATATATTTAGATATATTAAAAATATATAAAGCCATAAATATCAGAAATATATCATGTATAAAAATGTATATTTTAAACACCAATGTTAGCGATAGATAGATAGATAGATAGATAGATAGATAGATAGATAGATAGATAGATAGATAGATAAATATTATAATATCACTTCTGCTAATGGCTACCCATAAAATATATTTAGATACATAAGAAAATTATATAAATGTACATATGGCTACATATTATGAGAGAAAAAAAACCCATCTGAAATATAAATATAATAGTAAATGTAAAGAAAATGTCAAAAGAATAGTATAAATAGACAAAATATTTTATTTTAATATGTAATATCCAAATTAAAAGTTTGTGTTTACATAATATATGTGGGTGCATTGTGTATAATTATTTTATGTATATATAAATGCACACACATGCTGTATATTTAAGAAATATTTTCATGTATATACTGTATGTTAATTTTATATATAATTTATATTATATATAAATATAAATATTTTATATAGAAATCTTTTTTTTCCCCTAAATATACATGCATGTGTGTGTATTTATATATGTATGTATAAGGGACAATAAAATATAATTTTTTTAAATTAATATAATATAATTAATATAATTTAAATAATAACAATTAATTATTAATAAATACAGAGATTATTCATTAAATATAAAAATAGTTCTTATTTTTTGATGCTGGCTACAATCACTTTCTCATGAATGCATACCAGGACCAAACATTTTATAATTATTTTTATATACAAAATAATTATACACAGTGCACCCACATATATTATGTAAACACAAACTTTTATTTTGGATCCGATTAATCACGATTAAATGGTAAATGACAGCCCTAATATATATATATATATATATATATACAAACACAAACACACACACACACACACACACATATATATATATATATATGTCCATACATAGGCTATCTAAAAATAAAAAAAGTCATGTGGATAAAGAAGATTCTCATGGCAAGAGATAATGATCTGTATATGGTCCTCATGAGTCTAATATCAGACATGTCCCAGAAAGCCTCACCTCTCCAGCAGACACAGACGCTCTGATATTCGGTGTTCTTCTTTCCCTGGTCTCGATGTGCCTCTCTGTCCAGTCACTGCGGATAAAAGAGCGCCTGTTGTCTCGGTTGGACGTCCGGTCCTTGGTGTTGCCTGGGGGTTGGCTCTTGGCCCTGGGTGGTTTTCTCGATATGGACAGGTGTGATTCATCACTATCCAGCTCCTTATTAGGGTAGCATGGCTCTGAACGGGGCGCCCGGTATCTCTGCCGCCGTTTCGGATAAGAAGCTGATGGTCCGTTAGTGGTCACCCCTTTGTGACCATTTTCTGTGATAGAAGCAAAATAATCATTCGATATGTTTGTTTAAAGGAAAAGTTTGATCACACAACAAGACATTACCCTACCCAAGGGAGTCGAGCTTTCCACGGTTGCACTGGTGTCCGTGTGAACTTCTCCGTTGACCTGCGGCTTCCAGGACTTCTGGACCTCCACAGGCTCATTCTTGGACTCTGACGAGGATATGTAGTGTTTGCCATTTGAGACGTTCACCCCTTGCAGTTTGGGACTGGACGTCCCGCTGGAGTCGGACCCGCTGTCCCATCCGTTCTCGAATAACGGTCTGTGTGTCTGCTCCATCACTCTTCGCGTCAGTCTGTACTTCACAGAGTCCTCGTAACTCTTCGAGAATGTCTCCCACTTGGGATCTCTGAACTTTTTCATGTACTCTGTCCGGATCTTCATGGATATGATGTTGTTATTGGTAGACATTTCGCCCTGTTGATGTAGTCAGTCAGTCACCTATGGAATGAACATTATAATGGAAATGGGAAGTGGTAGTCTTGCCAATGCATGCTCGCATACTTCACGTCATCACCATCTGTTTTTCTTAGTATACAGTGCAAACTGCGATATATTCTACTTTGTTTTAGTGTCCTAGATACATGTACACTTACCATAGTAATAACAGTAAATTATACATGATTACATTACTATACCTCAACCAAAACCAATACCCTAACCCTATAAGTGGCAAGTGCATGTTGTTCATTAATATTAATCAGTACTTAAATATAGAATTACACTGTAACAATGACACCGAAAAATCAAATGTAGAGCAGAGTAGGTTACAGCCCAGTGCCCACATTATTTATTTATATTCTTTACATAATACATAAGCCGATGTCACATCCGATCTTTCTAAAAGGGACATTTCTTACGTTCTTGTGACGTTTATAAATACACGTTTATCGTACGATTTTAATAAATAATGTTCAAGCATGCATAATCATAATCTATATTAAAAAAATACAAAACATTAAAGAATAATGCATGTTTTTATTAATAAATTTGTCAAACTATTCAAATATATAATATCAATCGCTAATTAATTCCTGAAATAAGCCCGTGTGGTTTCGCTGGCAGCTCGCGCTATGTTCACAGGTCTTTCTTCACCTGCGCCTGAGTGTGTGTGTGTAAACATTGACTCGGATCGATATAAGCGCTTTAAACTCACCCACTCCTTTATTTTCCGTTCCTTAGGCTTTAACGCTGGATAAAGACGTCCATTTTTGTTCTAACATCCTTACGAATTGAAAATACCTCTGTCCATCATTGTTGTGCGCCTGCTGCGTAGTAGAAAACAACAACCCTCACTGATATTACAGGTTTGGCGCATGCGCACAACATCACACTCGGACTGCTTGAGGACCTGATGCGCAAGTACGCACTCACAATCCAATCCAACCGTTAATTGATCCTAATTTGATTATAATCACCTACTTTGTTCGAATCTAGTGGGTGGATGAAGTTTATTATTACATGTGGAGTTAGTTTACCCTTCGACATTTTCGCGATATTTTTGTTATATATTTGGAGAATATCAATTGTAAGGTACTAGCGACGACAGTTACTCGGCGCATGCGCAGCTCTGTCTGTCAGATGAATTATTTCACCTCATTACACAATAAATTTAAAAAAATCAGTTTAGGATGTACAATATTCTCATATCGATTTGATCTCTATGCTGTTGGTTAAAATTAAACAGGAATGACAAACGGATGGTATCAGGAGGTAGTACTACCATGTATTCAAAACATTTTTCTTTTCAGCTAACAGTAGTAACGTTAGTACCAAATAAAGGACATTTTTCAGTAATATAATCAGTCTATTAAATCAGTACTATTCATTTTAGATTTATAAGTAATCAACCTAATCATGATGATGTGCACTAAAAGCTAATAAAGATTTCGATTCCTTTATAAACATGAAAGTATAAACTAAAAGGCTGTCAGCGCTACTGTAATGCTTAATTGTCCCGTATACATTCATCCTCCATTAGAGCTCATTTAAACAGCCCAGATGGTTTATAGTTGTCATATTACAGACATAACAAGACTTCTCTCAATGTTATTCATCTGTAAAAGTAAACCATCTGAGATTTTGTTTAGTCTGTCTCAGTGTGGGCTGAAACCCAGAATCATATAAAAGTACTGAAATGACATATTCATTGACAAGCACCATGTTTAAAAACAGATTTTCCGTTTTATTTGTCTGCTGAAGTGTGATTTGTGTTGGTCGTCAGCTGGACCAGGGAACGAATGGCACTGGAATCTAAGGGAGGTGCGTCCATCCATTTCAAAATACCAAGCCATGATAGTCAGTAATAAATACATTTGTGTGCAATAAGAGTGCTTGGTATTTTTCTCTCCCTCGACGTTAGTGTCCTTTTCTCAGTTTATGCTTCAACTGCTCGCTCCTACAGCGTTGCATAAATAATGGCTGTAGAAAAACTGTCCACATGTGCAATGCACCGTCGCTCGGTTCCTGAGCAGGAAGCAACGATACGGACGCTTTGAGCCGGGCGCTTAAAAGCACTTGCGGTGAACGATGCTGGGACCGGCCTCGTCGTATTCCTGCTTGGTGATCCACATCTGCTGGAAGGTGGACAGGGAGGCCAGGATGGATCCGCCGATCCAGACGGAGTACTTGCGCTCAGGGGGAGCGATAATCTACAGAGGAGGAGATCCAATATTACTCAGAAAACCAATCTATACTGTCAAGATTGTCAACACATATTCAGTTAACATGGAAAAACCGTTACTAAAAACCAGTTACTGGCCATTTTCACTAGGCACAGTTTTGCGACTGACACCATGGGGAAAAAACGGACATGTACAATACATATTTAATATTATCTCATAATTTGGCAGCAGGTTTATTAGGCCACTTGCCACTGTCGCCTTGCTTTTGGCTTGCTTTGAGCTTGCTCAGTTGGGGTTATTTAGTGTTTAGCAATGTTGTTGATCTGTGTTGTGCTACTTTCATGTTATCAGTGTGAAGCTGCTTTGATACAATCTGTATTGTGAAAAGCGCTATATAAATAAATGTGACTTGACTTGACTTGACTTGACTTGACTTGTCACTGATGCACTGACCCATTATACTGTTACACATGCATTTTCTTTTTCAACTGTTTACGCTAACTTAAAAACAGAACCGACTGTGTTTGCGTGAATACTCGCCAAAACCGGCATTATGACATTATGCGTATTTGAGTGTTTAAGTGGGGAAAAATAACTCAATTTAGTCCCAGACAGAAACATAGTGTCGGCCCACATCAGAATCAACATGTATCAGATGTGGGCCGGATCTGGGCCGACACTATGTTGCTGTCGGACGGCTACATGTGGTTTGAGTGTCACTCTCTGTCGGAGATGAGAGAGTTGGTATCGTGCATCTATTCTGCTGAAAATGAGGAAGCGTTTCAGATATTTCAGTATCAATTCGTATAGAAAAATCTATATTTCTGACAACACTATATTGCACTTAGTTTATTATTTCAGATCTCTTTTAAAAAGACTACAATTAAAAGGTGTATTTATTATAAATATAATTCAACCCGCCAAAGTGGTTAGTAGGAGTGACTGCGTTACACGCCACTGCTGAAATACACCCGCATTTGGTGGGTGTTAAAGTCAAGCCCTCTTACCTTGATCTTCATTGTGCTGGGAGCCAGAGCTGTGATCTCCTTCTGCATACGGTCAGCAATACCAGGGTACATTGTGGTACCACCAGACAGAACGTTGTTGGCGTACAGGTCCTTCCTGATGTCAATGTCGCACTTCATGATGCTGTTGTACGCGGTCTCGTGAATGCCAGCAGACTCCATACCTGTGCAAGTGTTTTAAAGAGAGCATATAAATGGCTGAAGCACTAAAAGATAAGGTAACCGCTGATCATTTCAGATGTTTTCAGACGTACCAATGAATGAGGGCTGGAACAGGGTCTCGGGGCAACGGAAACGCTCGTTACCAATGGTGATGACCTGACCGTCGGGAAGCTCGTAGCTCTTCTCCAGGGAGGAAGAGGAGGCGGCGGTGGCCATCTCATTCTCAAAGTCCAGGGCAACGTAGCACAGCTTCTCCTTGATGTCCCGGACAATCTCACGCTCGGCTGTGGTGAAGGACGAATCACGAGGTCAGATTTGGTTGGTTTCTTTCACACATGCTAGAAGGTTAACTACACACACTGCCGGTCAAACTTTTTGGTTCGGTACAATTTTTTAAATGTTTTTAGAAGAAGTCTCTTCTTCTCACCAAGGCTGCATTTATTTGATTAAAAAAACAAACATTACATTATTACAAAATATTGTATTTTAAATAAATGCTGATCTTTTGAACTTTCTGGAGAAAAAAAAACCTGATACTAATAATTAACGCATCAAATCATCATATTAGAGTGATTTCTGAAGGGTCATGTGACACTGAAGACTGCGTGATGCTGAAAAATCACAGGAATAATTAACATTTTAAAAAATATTAAAATAAAAAAAAAGTTATTTTAAATTTTCATAATATTGAATTAAAATAATGAATAAAATAATAATAAATATATATATATATTTTTTAGTATTTTTAATCAAATAAATGTAGCCTTGAAGAGACTTTTAAAAACACTCAAAATCTTACAGATCCAAAACTTGTCTGCCAGTGATGAGTGACGAGGTACACACCAGTTGTGACGAAAGAGTATCCACGCTCAGTCAGGATCTTCATCAAGTAGTCTGTCAGATCACGACCAGCCAAGTCCAAACGCATGATGGCGTGGGGAAGAGCGTAACCCTCATAGATGGGCACATTGTGGGTCACACCATCACCAGAGTCCAGCACAATTCCTAATGACACAGAGGAACAAGAGAGCTCGTTTTAAATTCATTATTAGTGGCTAATCGATACATATCACGATAGTGAACTCAAGATACGATAATACTTCAAGAGTAAACGCTATCAAAAAACCCACTTTTTAATGGTAACATTAGACATTTGGCATAATCAGGACCCACAAAGATTCCCCCATTGTGTTATTATACGTTATTATACAAATCCATATTGTTGCATTTTTGTATTGCGATATATTGTTACACCCCTAGTGGCTAATATGTAAAATTAAAACTGAGTAATTGTTGCCCTTTGGTAATCTTACCGGTGGTACGGCCAGAAGCATACAGGGACAGGACGGCCTGGATGGCCACGTACATGGCGGGGACGTTGAAGGTCTCAAACATGATCTGGGTCATCTTCTCACGGTTAGCCTTGGGGTTCAGAGGGGCCTCGGTGAGCAGGGTCGGGTGCTCCTCGGGGGCCACGCGGAGCTCGTTGTAGAAGGTGTGGTGCCAGATCTTCTCCATGTCGTCCCAGTTGGTGATGATGCCGTGCTCGATTGGGTACTTGAGGGTCAGGATACCTCTCTTGCTCTGAGCTTCGTCTCCAACGTAGGAGTCTTTCTGGCCCATGCCGACCATCACACCCTGGAGAGCGACACGATCAGATAACCTGGTACAATTTCACCTTGTGAAGACTAACACAAACCTAGAAAGGATCTCTGTTTGTACCTGGTGACGTGGGCGGCCGACGATGGAAGGGAAGACAGCGCGGGGGGCGTCATCACCGGCGAAACCAGCCTTGACCAGGCCAGAGCCATTGTCGCACACCAAAGCTGTGGTCTCGTCGTCGTCGCACATTCTGATGGGTTCTGAGAATAGACCAAGTCAGTGAGAAAACAAAGTTGAAGAGGGCACTGCTAACTCAAAATTAAATTTGCTGAATGCATTATCCAAACCAAACCGCTGACAAATGTTCAGGTCACACCGAGAAACGCATTAATAAATAAATAAATTATATTTATAATCCGAGTGGAATGTGAATTAAAAGATGTGGGAGAAGACATCATTTTTATTGTATTTCATTTGCAACATTATAATCAAATAAACATCAATGAATTCAGCTTTACTTTAATAAAAAAGTTGCGTTAAATTTTAAGAGTACAATCAAGATGTCAAATTAATCAAACTGAAAAGTGAGTTGAATCGTGCACTGTAAAAATGAATATGTTTTATCTAATCAAAAAAATAGTAGCAACAGATTACAAGCATTATTATTAATTAAATGTAACAAATTAGAATTGAGTAATAATTAATCAAATTAATTCCTTAAAAGTTAACCATTTAAAATGAGTAAAACTTACAACAACAACAACAACAACCAAAAAAACATAAATTGAAGTCACCATTATGGTGATCGGTGTTTGTTTTAAAATGACGGTTTTCTCCTTCAGTGATTAACATCAGGTGTCTTCAATGTTGGCGATATAAAATAAATAGTTCTTAGTTAATATTTGACGTCTGTCTGTGAGTGAGATATTTTTGTTAAATTTCTTGGTGTAAACTTTACTCATTTTAAATGGTTAACTTTTAAGGAATAATTTGTTTAATTATTACACAATTCTAATTTGTAAAATTTAAATAATAATATTGCTTGTAATCTGTTGCCACAATTCTATTGATTGAAAAGTTGAAAATTGGTTAACGTATTGTTACCATACAAAAACATGTTGTCATAACTTATTGATAATATAATTTTTTACAGTCCATTGCGCGTTACGGATTCGCCACAAAATACCTAGATAAAAAAATACACTCGGAAAAATCAAGTGTACACTTAAGATACACAGTCAGAGTAAAGTTTTATCATATCAATTCAACAAAAAAGTTTTCCACGAGAGCAAACCCATTGTAAAAACTCACTCGCATCTTAAATGTTCCAGGTCTGATCGGTCTGATTCATGAAATAGTAAATCCGCTGCTCAATCGTTGGTGTGTGTGTGTGTGTTCTGGTGTCAGCGCGCGCTTACCTGTGTCTGCTCGTGCTCAGAGTCCTCAAGTCAAACGGAAGTGCCAATGGCTCCTGGTACACAGTGATTCGCGCCACCTTATATACCCGTCCCTGCTTTTACAGCTCTTCGGACAACCATGAAGGAATGTCAATGCATTCGACTGGAATTCTTCCCGATCCTCGTCCATATTTGGGTGTCGTTGGGTCGAGCAGAGGGTCTCAACGCCTCGCCTGTGTGTGAGCCGCACAGCGACGCGCTCCGGGCGCGCGGGACGCTCCATATATGGCGCTCTAGACCCCAAACCCCAGCGCGCGGGCGCAGGCCCGTGTAAGGCCAGTCCGAGCCCAGCGCCACCAATGAAACCAGTGGACACTGAGACCAGCAGCACTGTGTGTTTGTTGTGGTGGGCTATATACCAATATAAGGTCATGGTAGTGGGTTATGATTGCTTACCATTTTCTTTTGTGGGGCAATAATTCTCATAGGCTAATTATTTTAATTTCAGACATTATAGGTTAGGTTAAAAACAAAAACAGCAAAGCCAGGAATGATTAAGTCTTAGGTGCAATATATATAAAAGGGTGAAATCAAGTAAGGCCAGTTTTCAAAAGTGATCTTAATGTCAAAATTTATCCCAGTTTGCATGAATTGACCATTGCGTGTGTGTGTGTGTGTGTGTGTGATTAGTAGTAGCATCTATTTCAACTTCCATCATACATCCCAAAAAAATGTATTGAAAACATTGATAACACTTTACAATAAGTTTCATTAGTTAACTATAGTTAATAATGAACTGTGCTTGTACAACATTTATTAATCTTTGTTAATTTTAACATATACTAATTGTATTTTTAACATTAATAAATACAGCAACACATGTATTGCTCATGTTAGTAAATACCTTAACTAATGAACCTTATTGTAAAGTGTTACCAAAACATCTTGGAGAATCTCCTATACTTGAGTTGGTTTAAATGGTCACCATATTAAAAAGATACTACCACTATATTGAAAGAGACTGTATTTTCTTGATCATCAGCTGGAATTACAATAGTAAATCTGTGAAGTCATGGCAAATGTATCACCAATGACCAATAATATCAAAATAAACACTTAGCAAAGCCTTTCAGAGAACAGGATACTAGTGAAGTGTCTGTTTATTTAACTTGGAGGCTATTATTACATTATTAGTCATTAGAAAATCTCAATATCTGATGCCACTGCACAAACAATGAGCATCATGTGTCCTAGACAGTTTATCTAGTGTGGTTCGAGACTCTTGAGGCTCCCATATAGGGTGTCGGAGAACCCCCGTAAAGTCCTGCATATTTACGGTGGACAGCGCTAACTTTACACTCCCCTCCCTATTTTTAGGAGCTCAGGACATTTGCTTCTCCATCAGTTCAGCTGCTCTCTTCACACCAGCTGCGGGAGGAGAAAGACTGAGTGGGAGCGACAGATGAGAACAAGGAGTAAAAGAACAACAAAATGATGTCAAAAAGGTCACATAAAGCCTCCCACATACACGTCTGGACACTTAAGCCAGGATTTGGCCTTAGTTCATTTAAGTAGGTTTTATAAACTTGCCTTTAAAAGAAAAAGAAAAAAACTTAAGGTGTGCATCTTGAGACAAAACAATGGCCCTGACATATTTTAAGAAATGTTCATCGCAACAAAAACAGTTCAAACATGCATTTTAGTCTGTGAGCAGGCTTAAGCCGCCACTGAAACCAGGGAGAAATGTTTTGCTCTTGTGCTTCTTTAAAGGGATAGTTCACTTTGAAATTAATTTTTGGTATTTTTTTAGCTTACCTCAAGGTCATCCGAGATGTAGGCGTCTTTGTTTCCGCAGTAGCTTCAATTTTGATATTTTTAGGTCAAACCGTTCTTGTCCGTCAGTCATATAATGGAGGTCTATGGTCACCACCTCAAAGAGCATGCACAGAGAAGTCCAGATTAAACATGATTTAATGACTCGTAAATGTAAGCACACATTGATGGCCTAAGACACGAAACGAGCGGTTTGTGTGAGAAAACGAACAGTATTTATATCGTTTTACCACTTGTAATCACAGTCACGTCCAACTGTTCACTTTGTGGCTGTGGTTACAAGAGGTAAACGATATAAATACTGCTCATTTTCTCACACAAACCGCTCGCTTCGTGTCTTAGGCCATCAATGTGTACTTACATTTACGAGTCATTAAATCATGTTAAATCATTGAGGTGGTGACCATAGACCTCCATTATATGACTGACAGACACGAACGGTTTGACCTTAAAATATCAAAATTGAAAATACTGTGGAAACAAAGACACCTACATCTTGGATGCCCTTGAGGTAAGATAAAACATACCGAAAATGTATTTCAAAGTGAACTATCTCTTTAAAAGTCACTTTGCCTGCTCAAAATTCAGTGTAGTGTAAAGACGAAACGCAGCCAGACTAAAGTACGCCAGCTCTGACCCGCCTCAGGCACTAGTTTCAAAGCATACCGTTGTAACTGGTGTATAAATGCCTTCATGCCACTTCAGAAGCACTTCTGACACCTTCACAGTGTAAAGGTCACCATTTGGTTGGCACCCATTTGTCTTTGTCCTATCTGTGCCTGCTCAAAATTCAGGCCAGGCCAGCTCTGACCCGCCTCAGAATAAAAGTACACTATTAAAATTGCTGTGTAAAAGCATTTATGCAACTTTTGTGGAACTGTGCCACCTTTACAGTTAAAATTCTCCATATCGTTTGCCAAATTAACACTGCCTTTGGTCTTGCAGCTGAAGACAACCACTGAAAGTGATACAGAAATACAGTTTATTCAACTATTTTAAATGTTGGATCATGTAGTAATTTATTGGTTTATGAAACGGTACAAAACACAACTGTAATATTAACAAGGAAACACAGTAGAAGCGTGATGTCATATCTGAGCTTTCAGGTAGTGCTCATAATTGGCCCGCAGGAGGAACTGAAAGTAGGGCTTTGACTTCAGACTCGCCAGCTCGTCTCCCTGCAGGAGATCCTTCACTTCAGGCAGGTACGACTGCAGAGGAACACCTGTGTGCACAAACACAACACACACTCGCTGTAAATGCATGCACTAACGTAGCGTTCTTCATTCTTTGGATGTCAGATACTATATTTTACACTTCATATCTGCTCAAATCAAACCTTAAAGGGATACTCCACTTTTTTTTGGAAATAGGCTCATTTTACAACTCCCTCAGAGTTAAACAGTTGGGTTGTACCGTTTTCGAATCCATTCAGACGATTTTCTGATATTTAGAAGAATATCAGTAACCAGACAGTTTCTGGTCTCATTGACTACCATAGTAGGAAAAAAATCTACTATGTAAGTCAATGAGACCAGAAACTGTCTGGTTACTGATCTTCTTCTAAATACCAGAAAATCAGCTGAATGGATTTGAAAACCGTAAAACTCAACTGTTTAACTCTGAGGGAGTGGTAAAATGAGCCTATTTCCAAAAAAAGTGGAGTATCCCTTTAAATAAGCCCTAAACCGTCAGTAGCTGTTTCCATTACAGATTTGCGTAAAACTTGTCGATAAAACGTCGATAGAAAACTATTGTGAATTTCTTCAGTCATTCCAAACATCATGGCAATGGATGCTGGTAGGTTTATGTATACAGACATTATTTTGAATGGATATTTTTAATTATCCAAGCTTTAATGGCAAGGAAAACTCCTTATACTTCTTGTGATTGTCACATATGAGGTGTTTGTGCGTTTCCCCCTCATATCTGCTTCAATGCATTGATAGATTTGGCTTTTTTTTAGGTTTAGAATCTAATATCCCCGATACTCTCGTCTTTTATGAGTTTAAGGAAGAACCGTCTCGTCTTCTGTCCAAACACACTGCACCTTTTTTAAAGAAAGGTCGACTGTTGCGTACGTCAGGTGACCTGTAAATGCGGGAAAAATTGTTCCCGTTGCAGTTTTGTGAAATATTCTGCCTGAAAAAACACCTCAAACGAGCGTAAACAAATCTGGGAGTTTTTGCAAAATTGACACGTTTCTATTGAATGCATTTTCAATTTGCGCAATTTGAAGGGTAATAGAAAAATGGCTACTCGTGTAAAAGCGTCGTCACCATACCTTCTTGAATGAGTTTCTGTAGGATCTTGATGAAAGTGCTGTCTCTGGCTGCTTCTAGAGGATCGTCATTATCATCAGAAGAGGACCAACTGCAATCAATAAAGTAATCAGTTCACACTGCAAGCCTTAGTGCTCCGATCGGATTTTCTGATTGGCTGTGTTCATTTAGGCCACATTTACACATAGTATATTAGTTTTATGATGCTCACCTCTCCTTCCAGTCTTTCATTAAGGCTTTACTGAAGATCTCTCGTTTCAGGGCGTCAATATCGACCGCATCCTTCTACAGGCGATGAAAGCGTGTGAGAAACATGCGTGCTTCTGAAAGCAACTTCTATTTAACCCTCAGGTGCTCTTCGGTCATTTCTGACCGAAAAATGTTCTGTTTTGAATTTCTAAAAATCACAGCTTCATCGGAATGTTATGAAACTTGGTGACGTTTATGGCATTATGTATGTGAACACACAAAAAAATTGAGGTCATGATCTGAGCATGCTAAGTGGTCTTAAAAAAAATAGTCACACTTGTGGTCTTTGGTCAAAAATGACCCCCATAGGAAATGAATGGGAAATTGACAAAAACATAAAAATTCACAATTTATTTTTATTTTTTTTTTAATAAAAAAAATCGTTTTTGAGATTGTTTCAACTATATATTCAAATCCACCAAAAAAAAAAAAAAAAAAATCTGGGGAATTCACATGCTTCTCCATAGAGAGCTGTACATGTCATCTAGTGGTTACACCATGATTCTACGCTTTTTCTCTATAATATATAAAAATGTTTTTTTCTGAGGGCCTAGAGTCTATATTAAACTAAAATACTGCATTAATAATTTTTTGAAAAAATTAATTTATATATAGAAAAATATATATATATTTTTCCATGGCAAAAATAGACAATAAATATTGCATAAATATTAATAAATTCAATCAAATTGTTTCAAAATACTAAATTACAAAGAATAAATATTATAGAACAAAAATAAATTGCATTGGTTTTACTGGGATGGAAGAGATTTAATTTTTAGGTGTCCGGTCACTTTTGACCGGGAAGATAACAAGTGTGACTCCGAAACGAAGAGCACCTGAGGGTTAAATGCTGTTATCTGTTATGCATTTACAGATACCTCTTCCAAGTACTCCAGCAGATCCAGCGCTTTCTTAAAGTCGTACTCGTTGGCGCCGCGGTTCTCGTCGCAGATGTACAGCTGGAGGAAAAGAGGAACGAGGATGAGGAATCCCACCTGTGCGTGAGTGGCGAGGTATTTTAGTGTTTTACTCACAGTGATGAGGTTATGAGGGCTCAGGAGAGGCATGCTGTCTGGGTTCAGCTGCTTCTCCACCAGCAGCTGTTTAGGAAGAGTCTCCTGATGGAGCAGAAACCGCTCCTGCTCCACTATATCTACACCAACACACAATCATTTCAGAAAATTACTTTGCCGATGAAATAACGGGGGCTCAGGAGATTATTTTGAGCAGGTCAGATTTTTGTAACCCAGATGAATTTGCTAACCATTAGGCCAGACATTATAAGCAACACGAGGAGGAGAAAATACAAAGAGCATCATTTAAAGGAGTCAGTCGAATGGTTCTTTCATGGTTCTTTCTTCAGTCGAAAAGAAATTAAGGTTGCACGTTCGTCACTCTCCTGTTCAAACTCGTTTATCAAAATGAACGAATCTTTTTTCGTGTCATTTGGTTCAATCAACGAACAAAATGAACGAGTTGACTCAGAAAAAGATTTGTTCATTTTGATGAACAAGTTCAAACAGGAGAGTCACGAACGTGCGTCACAGAACAGAGCAAGGCAAGCATTTGAGCTTATAAAACTTAAACTTTGTTATTTATTTTTTAAATGGCCGCTCGTTTCGCTTGATAAGACCCTTATTCATCGTCTGGAATCGTTTAAAGCCCTTTGAACAGTTTGCAATGAAACTGTCTTTTGGACCTTGAACCGTTTGGTTCCCATTGAAGTCCATTATATGGAGAAAAATGCTGGAATGTTTACATCAAAAACCTTAATTTCTTTTCGACTGAAGAAAGAATGACATGGATATCTTGGATGATTAGCAGCAAAAGTTTTTTTTTTTTGTGAACTACTCCTTTAACCGTTAGCTCCTCGTTTTGTGGATGCACTAACAATAACAATGCATATCGAGAAGAGAAGATATATATGCAACTATCGCAGGTTTAAAAGTCATTATGAAATCTAAATGATTTTATTGTAATAATGGAATATTGTCATGGTTATTATAAATGATTTATTTATGCACATTATTATTTGTGCCTTATAATCTTTCATCAAAACAACGTCCCCTTCTTCTCACAGCATCATCTCATCATGATGATGTGTTCACTGGTAACCTGTCACTCACATGAGATCCACCAATAGCAAACCACAACCAACCAATCAATTCCCCACAGACAAAAATCAAGCCCCGCCCTACATTTGTTCTTGTTCGAGAAGCTGTTTCACTCAGATATACGTCACAATAGAGAAGAAAAGACTTTCAAATTCTGTTTCATGCAGTTTCCCGAACTCACTGACCGGTGAGCTGTCTTTGGTGAACGGCTTCAGGCATGTCTGACGCGAGAGCCGTGAGTTTGCTGAGGGCCAGCAGGGTCTTCTTCTTGCTGAAGTATCGCGTCTCTGCGTTGGCCTGACTGTACAGGGTACGATGGGCCTGTCATGAAGAGAAGGCATTTTTAACACTTTAAGAGTCAGTAAGCACACAGAGGCACACATTAAAGTGAACCCTCTGAAGAAATTGTAATATAACAGTCAAACCAAAATTTATTCAGACACAAAATTCAGACAATTCTTCAGTTATTCAGACAAAATTAATCACAGTTTATTCGCTATAGTTTAGAAAATGGTTATAAAATATGCCACGAACTCATATTTCACTGGTTCTGTCCGTCCTTCTGTTAAGCCTCGTGTATACTCGACGCGTCCGCAAGAGCGCGAAGGTGCGTGCGGCAAAAATTACGTCATTGCGGTGTGGGCGTGTTGGTTGCGCAAGACCCCCATTTCGCCTGGCGGTGTGTGCGGCACTTTTTATAATATCGCGTGCGGCGCCGCATATGCAAATGAACGACTTTGAGCCAAATCCCAACTGCATGTTTATGATCCTTCTATGCACAGAGACATTTGCATGGATGGGTGACCATAAAAGCCTCTCATTTTGTGAACAAGAACACATTTGCATTGGGTCATATAATGCCATTTTTGTACTAAGTTAATATGAATGTTTAGGGTCTAAATAAAAACTTTGTAATATACTTTTATTAAAAATTCTCATTAGTATTTTAAGAAAACACCATTTTACCTGGTCAAAATCAGCTCTTGTTTTCAGCACTAAGTTTCAGTGCATATGCCTTTAAATAATAAACCCCGCCCCTCTGTACTGCGGGCGTGAACACACGTGGATATATATATATATATATATATATGAAGAGTTCAGATGCAAAAGCCTCTAAGTGCCATTTGAAATTTTCTTCTTTAATGATCATTTTTTATCAAGCTTGTATATTTAAGTTCAGTGATTTCACTTAAATGGCAATGATAAATACCTATTAATTGTTATTTAAGTGAAATTACTGAACTTAAATATACAAGCTTGATAAAAATGGTCATTTTAAAAGAAAATTTCAAATGGCATTTAGAGGCTTTTGCATCTGAACTCTTCATATATACACACACACACACATATATATATATATATATATATATATATATATATATAAAATATAAATATATATAAATATAAATAAATTAATATAAATAAAGATAAAGAGGTGCTCTTACTCTCTGATAGTCTTGCACATGTATGTCATGCAGCCAGCTGAGGTGATCGTGAGCCTGCAGGAAACTGGCCAGCTGTTGGTGTGTTGCGATTGGCTGAGACAGCAGCTTCCCTCTCTTGCCTTTCTCCATGTACCAGCGGAACAGGAAGTCAGCGAAGTTCTACAGGGAACAGAGAGGACTGTGGGTAAATGCATTTGGCAAAGGTACTGTAACCCATCTGGGATTTTAGTTTTGCAAAAAAATGCAAGTGTCCGTGTGCAATCAATGCTCTTTAATGTAATTATCCAACGCAAGCACAGTTCTGCTAATATTGAAATATTGTGCACTAGTCACAAGCTACTATATAAACGCATCTTCTGATAATACACTAATGAAGCAGTCTGAAAGAAATCAAAAACACAGTAAAAACCGTAAAATATAGTGAAATATTACTACAATTTATAACTTTGTTGAATATATAGCTTAATCAAAGCATCATTTCTCCATGATCCATCAGAAATCACTCTGATATGATGATTTGATATTCAAGACAAGAACCATTTCTGATTATTAACAGTGAACAGAGGAAACCATGATACATTTTTTCCAGGATTCTTTGACGAATAGAAAGTTCAAAAGAAGTCTTTTATAACATCATAAATGTCTTCACTGCCACTTTTGATTAACGTAATGCCTGAATAAAAGTATTGACTGTACTGAAGATCCCAAACTCCTGAACAGTGATGCGTGTTTTGGGGTTTGTTACCTGATCAGCGAATTTGACCATGTACTGCTGCAGCCGACTCTGGTTATCCGTCCGCTCGCACAACTGCACCAATATGTCAAAGTCACAGTATTTCTCCGCCAGCGCTGCGACCCACTGATTCTGACCCAACTCCACTGAGAGAATCACACACACACACACACACGTGTATTAATCATACAATCTGGCCATTTAAACAGGGAAAGACCGTCTGATCGACAGGTGAACCCAGATCACTCACAGAGAGGTGCGAGCAGCTCCGAGCGCTTCTGCGTGTACTCGTTCTCCAGCGCGTCGTAGCGTTCCTGCTGTCCCGAGCGGCGGAGAGACGTCAGCTGAGCCACGTACCCGCTCAGCAGAGAGTCCAACAGCGCCACCAGCTGCTCGCTCAGGACGGCGCGCAGCTCTGCGTCAGCGTGAGGGTACGCGGCGTGCAGGATCAGCTCGTGCTGCCGCGTGATGACGCTCCGAACCCCACCGACTCCTCCTGAGGCTGAGATTTTACAAGTACAATCATTTGTTACATCTATATAGCGCTTTACCAGGAACTCAGTGCTTTACATATGGAAGTGGGGCGCCACACACCCGCCACACACCAGCTTACTGTGTGTGATGAAGCCAATCAGATTAGGAGGCCATGATGGACAAATTTGGCCAGGATGCCGGGGTTACACCCCTACTCTTTTTCCGAAGGACATCCAGGGATTTTTATTGACCACAGAGATGAAGATGGGCAAGCTATGACATCCATGTTGACGGAGAGCTGCTTTAGTATTTGTAACATAAAAAGCACAGGAAGTCCTTTCAGTGTTGCGTGTGTGTGTGTGTGTGTTAGGGCTGTCACTTTACGTTCGAAAATCGATTGCACAATCAATGTGTTTTAGGTGGACAGACCAATACACAGACATGTAGGATGTTGGAAAATAACATAATAATAGGAAAATAAGTCTTTTCTGTTCACCAAATGCTTTTTAATATTCGCTATTAGTTTAATGCAAGTGAAGAAGCGCGCCGTTATTTGTTGCGTAGTGACGTGTGTGTTCAAGTAAGCCAGAAATAGTTCCCCACTTTAAAAAAAAAAGTCGTTTGCTGAGCCTGGTGTCAATAAAAGCTTTTATTGGACTAACAAGGACGTTTTCGGTTCTGAAACTTACAGGATATTCTTATAATATGATGATGTCAAACGCTCAAGGAAAATTTGATTTCTCACTTCATCACCCCTTTAATGCAAGTGAAGAAGCGCGCCGTTATTTGTTGCGTCGTGACGTGTGTGATCAAGTAAGCCAGAAATATGCAGATTGTGCGCTATACGCTTATTTAATAGATCATGAGGACTCACGAGTTACGTATTTGTGCTAAATCCACGCTTACACGAACTTACAATATAGATTGGCTCGCCTGATTGGCTCGTGATATGACAGCGTTTCCCGCCCAAAGTTCATTTTTACCCGCATTTGTCGGGTCGAGGGTGTTAATCTCAATCCCTGAATGTTGCGCTCCTGTTTGTCATTGCGCATTAAACTTCAGGCCAATAAATCATCAGAAATATTGCTGACATGTGCGCGTCTGGAGCGCCTCGTTACGCTCGTCCTAATGCCTGTTAGGTGTCCGTGGATTTGCCTGTATTTAGTGTTGAAAATGGAAACGTCTTTAGACATGGAAAATCGATTTTACAATCGATTCAATGAAACTTCCGTCTCAAAAATCAAACAGGATTTTTTCACAAAAGTGACAGCCTTAGTGTGTGTGTTTTTGTGTGTGTGTGTGTACCTGTCCATGGGATGTACTCGGGCTCAGGGCTGCAGTTCTCTGGTCCTCTGTACAGAGATGCTTTGGATTCTCGGTACTGTGCCGCTGCTTGAAGCATATCCTACCACACAAAACACCATGATTACTCATTTGAACAAACTCAGGGACCAGGAAGATGATGTGCGAAATATTCACAGTCTGCACTACAACGCGAAACCGGCGGTTTCAAAAAGCTTCATATGGCCACACTTTGCGTTTTTCAAAGGAAAAGGTATTAATGTGGACATGGCCTCAGATGTTCTCCCTTTAGGGAATATAAGACGAGTACTTCGATATGTTGGACCTGGCACACTGATTTAACCGCATGATTTCATGAAGAGGTGAAAAACATCTGGGCACCTTGACGATGTCATTGACGTTGAGAACGACCTCGGCCCACCTGGCGGCATCCGGATGCTCTTTCAAAGCTTTTTCCTCCTCATCCAACAGACACTCAAAGATGGAGGAGATCTGAGACACCTGGAGGGACACACATGAGATAAACACGTGCTCTTCATTGGAGTTTCGGTGAACGGGGGGCTGAAGTCTCGCACCTCTCTGAAGAACACGTCCGCGGGCGTGAGGTTGGCTGGTATTTCGGTGTTGTTCTTCTTCAGGGCTGATAGGATGGCTGTGTTCAACAGCTCGGGATGCTTGGCATGATGGTTCTTCAGCACGATGGCGGCCGACAGCTTCTCCGCATGTTCGCATAGCAAGAGTCGCGTGGCCATCGGGGACGAGCGCACTGTTGTGGAAGTGAGGCGGTCTAGAAGACCTGTCTGTAGAGCAGACGGAGAGAAAAAACACTTGTTGAGAGCTGTGTGAGGGATGAAACGTGTCTCACAGATTGTGTGTGTGTGTGTTGAGGAACCTGAAGCAGGAAGTCCATGAGGCAGCGGTGAGCTTTCATCTTATCCTCCAACTGATGCAGCAGGATCAGCGACGTCAGTGTTAATCCAGCGCCCTCTACAGGACAAAACACACAATCCTTCACACACTGAACAGGGTCCAAAATTAGGAAATGTAATCCTTGGATGTACCTTCTTAAATTTAACTTAAAGTCAATGTTCACAACACATGTGAACAATACCCTCCACAAAGAGAGACAAAAGAAAAATACATGTTTTCCTGATTTTGTTACGGGTGTATTTCAACCAGAAATGAACTCATGAATTTATAGACAAAAAAAAAAAAAAAAGCTAAATAGTTAATAAATAATTAATTTCACTCTATAAATTTATATATATATATATATATATATATATATACACACACACACACACACACAGTATATATAATTTACTTTTAGTATTATTATTGTAATACTACTCATAAAAAAATATATATATATATATCTTTGAAAATTATTTGTACTTATATTATTATTATTTGTAAATTATTTGTACTTATATTTTTAGGGAATATATATATATATATATATATTAGGGCTGTCAAATGATTAATTGCGATTAATCGCATCCAATATACAAGTTTGTGTTTACGTAATATATGTGATATAATTGTTTATAATTATTTTATATATATATATATATATATATATATATATATATATATAAAACACACACATGCATGTATATTTAAGAAAAAAATATTATTTATACATAAAATATTTATATATAAAGTAAATTATATATAAATCTATATACAGTATATACATGAAAATATTTGTGTGTATTTATATATATATATATACATAAAATTATACACAGTTCACCCATATATATTATGTAAACACAAAGTTTTGTTTAATTAATGCAATTAATGATGCATTCAAATATTTAATATATTTAATATATATAAAATAATGTAAATTATACTTTCATGGTAAGCAATAATTATTTATGGCCAGAAATTTGTATTACGGTAATTCGCTCGCATTAATTTTCAGACGGTTGCGGTGAACTAATTTATCGGGCTGAACTGAAAGTGTGTCCTCATCCATCTCTCACCGTCAGGAACGGACTCGGCCCAGCGGGGGTCACATGCAGGGTAGTCGTCCACCAGATCCAGATCAATCTGGGTCACAATGGCATCTAGCTCTGCATCTCCCTCTCCATCGCTGGGGAAGAGCTGGTCCACCATGCTCTGAGCACCAATCAGATCGTGACTGCGGATCAAACACAGCACATGATCTGTGAGCTTCAGCCGCTGGACAGAAGCGTCTGTGACACGAAGGAAACTCACCGGCAGAACTGAAGGAAAGCTTGTTTCAGCAGTTTAGTTTTGTCCTCCTGTGCCACCATGTCTATTTTGGGTGGCGTCTCTAACGGAGTGCCCTGAAAGGATGACAAATATACATATATTTAATTTAATGTACAAAACATTTTGAATACACACACACACCAGAGCTGCGCGATTCTGGTTAAATTGAGAAACATGAACAGACAACTAAACAAAAAAGCATGTAATTTCCAAATGTCAAATGCTGCTGTCTATTTAAAATTTTTAATTAATCTGAATTCTTTTTAAAAATGGGTTGAGTGAATGATTCAACGACTCACTCATATGATATATACTTCACTTGTTTCATTACTGGATGAATCCGCATTTTTGGAAAAAAAAATCTCTTGAATGAATGATTCAATGACAAATACATTTTCTAACAGTCACTTATCGCCACCTACTGGTGTAAAAATGCAATTAATACAATTGAAGCATCGAGTTACTTTCAAAAGGTGATTTACTCTATTGTAATCACTAGCATAGACATCAGTGTTTATACCTGAACTATAAACATATATCCCAGTACTTCTAGGATACTACTGTATTTAGGAATGAGAATTGAATTGCGTGTTTGAATTGAGTTTGTGATCGTTCAACGATGAATCGCGCAGCTCTGACGCACATACATGTGTATATGTAATCATGCCCGCTTTAAGTAAATTGACTCCAGACCTCAGGTCCAGGTCCAGCCACTGAAGTGCAGAGCGAATCCTCCATGGTCTCAGGCAAGATTGAAGCGCTTTCTCTTGCTAAAATGGCAACCAGCCCATTGTTCTGGGAGAAAAACACCGGGAGACCGGCACACACCCCACCGCCACGGATACGATCACCTGGAGAACAAACCGAGATCAACTACAGGAGGAAGACTAGCTTTCTTTTTCATTGTTTTGGCAGTCCGACGGATGTACCTGGAGAGTTGAAGGAGATCCTCTCCTCTGCAAGACCTCCGCGTCCCGCTCCAGTGCTGCAAGCGAACACCAGCTCCTCGCTGTAGAGGTACGCCGCGGGACTCGACGGCTCGGGCAACACCAGACGCGTCTTCTGCAGCTCGTCCTCACTCTGACGGACAAAACCAGTACAGAATTCGTTCAGTTTTATGTCGTTCTCATGACTTTAAAAGGTTTAATATGTAGGATTTTTCACCACCAGGGGTCGCTAACTTCTAACAATAAAGGCGTATATCGATGACGCAAAGCATTTAGCATGTGCAACACTCGTGTCTCCGTCAAGTCAAAGTAAGTCGCGGACGTGGAGCTCTCGGCATCTCGAAAGATCTTTGTTTTAAGTCCTCTTTTTGTCTTAAAATCTGCTTTCCATGGTCCATAATGTTTGAACAAAACAACAACAGTGTGAGCGTCCACGTCTGTCGCCATGGTTACTATGGCAGTACGAGCGGGAACCAAGGGAAACGCGGATATGACGTCATTGACTGGCGACTAGGGATGGGCACCGATTAATCGCGATTAATCACAACCAAAATAAAAGTTTGAGTTTACATAATATATGTTTGTGTAGTGTGTATAATTAAATTGTATAAAATATACCCACACATGCATATATATTTAAGAAATATGTGCATGTATATATTTTATATATATTTATTCACAATTAATATTATATATAAATATAAATATTTGATATATTAATAACACATTTTTCTTAAATATATACATGCATGTGTGGGTATTTATATATACAAATTAATTATACACACTACACACACATATATTATGTAAACACAAACTTTTATTTTGGATGCGATTAATCGTGATTAATCGTTGCCTATCCCTACTGGCGACTCCTCAAACGTCCCGTTTCCTTGGTTAAAATTGCAATTTTCTCGTGATTTACAAATAGTTGGAAACATTGGGGATATTGTAAGTAATCAACTAAACAAAATATAAAACATTGGCCTAGTATTTTTTTTGTGAGGATATTTTACTAAAACAGATCCTACATATTGTACCTTTAAAGGATTAGTTCACTTCAGAACGCAAATTTCCTAATAATTTAATCTCCCTCATGTCATCCACGTTGTTCTTGTCTTTCTTTCTGCAGTTGAAAAGAAATTAAGGTTTTTGAGGAAAACATTCCAGATTTTTTCCGTATAGTGTCTTCAATGGGGTCCAACGGGTTGAAATTGCAGTTTCAGTGCAGACACGATCCCAGCCGAGGAATAAGGGTCTAATCTAGCCAAACCATTGCTTATTTAAATAAATATATATATAAAAATAATATAAATATATACTTTTTAACCACAAATGCTCGTCTTGCACTAGCTATGATGCCCACACGTTACATAATCACATTGAAACGTCACGTACAGACCTAGTGTTTACAAAGCGAATGTGCAAAGACTACGTCAAATGCCATTCACCAAATAAATAAATAAAAGGTAAAAAAAATGCTTTCAGACGATTTTGAAGTTGGAGCAGAAAATGAGATGGAGGTTTTCGCCCTACCCTATATTTCCAAACCGGAACAAGCGTCACCTTTCAACGTGATTACGTAATGCGTGCCGCACCGCAGAGCTAGTGCAGGACGAACATTTGTGGTTAAAACGTATATCTTTTTTTTTTTTGTGGAAAATGAGCGATGGCTTGGCTAGATTAGACCCGTGTAGAGCCTTTGAAACTGCAATTTGGACCTTCAACCCATTGGTCCCCATTGAAGTCACTATATGGATATTTCTTTTCGACTGCAGGAAGGAAGATGACGTGGGGGTGAGTAAATAAATGATCAGGGAATTTTAATTCTGAAGTGAACTACTCCTTAAATTCAAGAAGCTCTCAGCCTACACACTCAGATGATTGGTTGGATGGTGTACCTGGAAGGGCGGGTTATATCTGGTGACCTCCACAGTGAGCAGGTCTGGGGAGGGCGCTACGCTCTCTGCAAGAGTGACCAGGCAGAAATACGCCACGCAAGGAGTGTCGCCCGGATGCCACGCTGCCGCCAACACCACCGGCCCCGCGCTGAGAAACAGAGCATCAGCGGTTCATGGACTGTATGTGTGCATTAGTTTCATTTGAACATAATATCCAGCTCTCACTTGCTGTACTGCATGTCCAGATAAGACACATTCACTCCCTTCTTGATCTCTGAATAGTTGCTTTCTGAGTCCTATAAGACAAGAACGTAATATTATTATACCTTTATATATATATAGGATCATGTGACACTGAAGACTGGAGTAATGATGCTTTGATCACAGAAATGCATTACATTTTACAATATATTCACATAGAAAACTGTAATAATATAGCACAAAGTACAGCATCATCAGTCATCATTTCTATACAATTGTAAAAGCTTCCAATGAATGTTTCTGACCCAGATGGCGTCGGTGATGCAGTCTGAGATGATCTGATTGGTGCTCCAGCTCAACACCTGCGTCTCGCTGTTCTCATCCACCTCCCATTTACTGAGACCACACGAGCTGAGGGAGTACAGACTGCCGGTTTCCTTCGCCCACAACACACTGAACACCTGAGCAGAGAAACACCCCGTCAGCGCTTGAGCAAACTCACGTTTATTTGTGTAGCGCTCTTCACAATACACATCGTTTCAAAGCAGCTTTACAGAAAGACCACATTACAATTTAGAGTGATCTGTTATCAGGTGACCGTCTTAGGCCGTTTCTCCACCAAAGCGCTTTTCACATGCCTGGCGTTTGTTTTCAATTGTTTTTTAAACGCCACGAGCGTAACAAGGCGCTATGGAAGCTTGTTTCCGCCACTGAATAAAAAAATTATAATTGCGACTTTTTATCTCACAATTGCGAGATACGAAGTCAGAATTGTGAGAAATAAAGTCACAATTTTTGACCTAAAAATTTTGACTTTGTAACACATAATTGCAACTTTACATCACACAATTCTGACTTTATATCATGCAATTGCCACTTTATATCATACAATTGCGACTTTATCTATCGCAATTGCGACTATATATAACGCAATTCTGACTTTATATCTCGCAATTCTGACTTTATATCATGCAATTGCGACTTTATCTATCGCAATTGCGACTATATATCACGCAATTCTGACTTTATATCACGCAATTCTGACTTTATATCATGCAATTGCGACTTTATCTATCGCAATTGCGACTATATATCACGCAATTCTGACTTTATATCACGCAATTGCCACTTTATATCATACAATTGCGACTTTATCTATCGCAATTGCGACTATATATAACGCAATTCTGACTTTATATCTCGCAATTCTGACTTTATATCACGCAATTGCGACTTTCTCTCCCGCAATTGCGACTATATATAACGCAATTCTGACTTTATAACACGCAATTGCGACTTTCTCTCGCAATTCTGACTTTATATCACACAATTCTGAGAAATAAAGTCAGAATTATGATATTGTAAACTCGCAATAATTGTGAGGAAAAAAAGTCAGAATTGTGAGATAAAAAGTCGCAATTACCTTTTTTATTTTTCATTCTGTGGCGGAAACAAGCTTCCATAAGGCGCTGAGCAGTTTTTTTCACGCTGAAGCACTCGTCGGTTTTTACCGGTCGCCGAGAGTTGAAGCTTGTTCAATTTTGGGTAAAACGAAGCACTCATAACCGTCACTTTTTACCCAGCCGTCCAATCACAGTGGAGGAGGGGCGGGGCTAATACCACACTGACCAACTGACACAACATTCTTTCTGTACAATGCCAACAACCAGCAGAGCTAACCGAACAAAATGGAAGAAAACCATTTTTTTAGTATGAAAAATTATCTGCGAAATCAGTTACAAGTAAACTGTGCTGCGGATATTCCGTATCATAGCAACGGAAAAACCGCTCTCATGCGCCTAGAGCTAGGCGTTTTCAACGCTTTGGTGGACACACAGCCTAAGTTATGTATTTGAGAAATGTACATATACAAAAATCACAGTTAGAAATGTATTGAAATGTTAAAATGTATTTAAACAAGGTAGTAATCAAATCAAATGAAAAGCAGGATCTGGATCCTCTGTACTGACGCTGAGGTCGGCTGGCTGGCCGCGGATGCCGAACAGGCTGGAGACTCTGCGGCCGATCCCCGACAGCATCCCCTGCCCCTGCTGGACCGGCCTGTGGTGCAGTTTACCGGACGAGTCCGCGGCGAGCCGGAGCAGGTGCCCGCGGTGCGACGACACGATGAAACTACCGCCCTGAAAGAGCAAGAGAAACAAGAGCATGGAAGAAGAGAAAAGAAAAGTCCTATACTAAAAGTACAAGCACGATCCTCAAACAAGAACATACATGAATATACAGGTGAAACTCGAAAAATTATGAAATATTATTATATTGAAATATCATGCAAACGATCATTTATTTAAGTAATTCAACTTAAAAGGTGAAACTAATTTATTATATAGACTCATAACATGCAGAGTGAGATATTTCAAGCCTTTATTTGTTATAATTTTGATGATTATGGCTTACAGCTTATTAAAACCCCAAATTGTGAAAAGGTTTTCATAAGCTGTAAGCCATAATCACAGGAATCAATTACATGTAAATGTATTTATGAACAATATGATCCTCTTATAGGACTCTTACACTGCCTGATAGCCCACCTTTACAGCCGCCACGTAGTTGCACAAGTGTCCACCCAGGTCCAGAGAGATCTCAGTGTAGGACCCCTCGTGAGCCAGACTGGGCCAGAACCGGGCCGAGCCGTCCGGAGACACGGCCAAAGCACTGATGGACTGTGAAAAACACATTTGATTTTGCATAGAGTTGCATCACAGGGTTTTTATTCAGTAATATAATGAAGAACAAACTATTATGCGCCTCGTAATTTGTAATCAAAATAATTCCCCTCCCTCTTGCAGCATCTCTTCTCTGATGATGCGTTCACTGGCAACCTGTCACGCACATGAGATCCACCAATAGCAGAGCACAACCATCCAATCAATTCTCTCTCACCTGTATGGTTGCATGATCGAGTGGACCAGAGGAGTTGATGGAGATGAGATCAGCGCTGTACGCAAACTCGCTGGGCGGCAGCTGGAGGTCTTTACACACTGACAGCTGCAATCACAGCAAACGCATGAAGTTCACGCAAACTGTCAAATTGGGCAGCAAACAATAGCGTCTCGTTCTGACCTTTGCCACAGACGTCTGAGACACTTTCCAGACGACCAGACGCTCTCCACAAACCATCCACGCCCAACCGGACGCCTCCACCTTCACAGAGATCTGATCGTCCACTGCAACAGACACAATATCACGCATCGTAAAGCATTCGCACAAACACCAACACTGGATCTGACCTGCCTTGGTTGGTCACCCAAGCAAACAGATTGCCAGGTTTTTTGAGACACGGGTCTAGGTAAAGTTAAAGACACCAATCTTTACCATCCGCCATGGTCAACGCCTCCATGACTTTAACAGGTAGAGATGATCCGAAAGTCTGAACATCAAAATTGCACGAATCAACAACGGCATGACTCTGAACCCGCGTGGGAGTGGATCTGGAGAAAGAAGAGATGCTCTCACAAATCGGCTCGAAAACAAAAGTAAACCTTTTTTTGTACATTATGGAAACTGCTGGTCATATTCAGTATTTACTGGAGAAGAAAACTTTCATGACTGAATATTGAATATTTATGTACTTTTACAATGTTTCACGATCATATAAGTGCCATAAATCTAGACTCATTTGCTAGTAGCTGGTCACTGTGTAGTTTCTAAAAAACAGACTGAAACATGAATATGTTTCATATAATGAATATAAGCATATTATAATATACACTAGATACTAATTGATTCCCATATTTATGTACTAACAGTTACAGTGTTTACATGATAATCCAACATAGTATTATGTCACACGATTATAAAACTTATACCTTTTTGTGGGAGAATATGATTTTTGAATAGGTACATGTTCAGATTAGCATGTACACAACGCCATCAGTCAGTGTGTTTACTGTGCTTTACCTGGCCGTGACAGCGGAGCGGCGTGGAGAGAACAGATGCCCGGGCTGGACGGAGCTCACACTCCTCCGACCGCCGGTGCGAGGCGCCTGTCTGCGGCCTGAGCTCGGTGTGCCGCGGGGAGTGAACATACTGGACCCGCGATCTGTTTACCAGAGACAGAAACTCATCCGAAGGCAACGAGACGCGATAAACTTTGGAAAACGCTTTTACCGCGCGCTCACTAGAGTCAAGCGCACACAATACGCGTCATTCAAACGCGCATGCGCTTATGCTACTGCTACCGTACCGACTGCTACTGAGAGAGCGTGTGTGTGTGTGTGTGTGTGTGTGTGTGTGTGTGTGTGTGTGGTTGAGAGACAACTGACCCTGGTCAGCGTTTCAGGACAAGCGCTTGAAAATCCCATGTGAGGTCGTGTAGTTTCACATCACTCTAAGCTTTGTATTGAAATTAAAATAAGCAAAAATTAAACTGGAGCATATTATAATACCTCAACTGTGTCTGCACCAAAATGAGTCATTATGAGCTTAGTGTTGTTAAATATAATTTCCGTGTCGTTGTGCTCTAGTTGGAGATGAATATTTTGTAAATAAAGTGGTAAAATATGTATTTTTAAGCAAACAAAGCACTCTCGTCGTTTCATAAAATTGATTGAGGTTAAACCGCTGAAGTCACAGGGATGATGTCTTTACTACCTTTCTGGGGCTTGAAACTGGTAGTTGCATAGGGAGACAGAAGTACGGAAGTGTTTTGCATTCACTTGAAGAAAAAAAATCTACTCTGTTTTTCTGAATTAACGAGTTAGTTATCTCAGAATTACGAGATAATTTTTCATGGATAAAAGTCTTTGCTCTATTTTTTTAATTTAAAAAAATATATAAAATAAATGTTTTTTCAAGACAAATATTAACAAAAATTAAGTCATATTTTTGTTAATATTTGAAAAACATTTTTTTCACTCTGTTTTTATGAATTAATGAGTTAATTATCTCAGATATATTTTTCTTGCAAAACTTTTTTTACTCTGTTTTTATGAATTAATGAGTTGCTCATAATTTTTTAGATGAAGTCATTAGTTCAGAAAAACAGAGCAAGTACTTTTTTCGTAATTTCGTAATTATGAGATAATTTAATCTAATTAATTAGATGAGATAATTTAATTCTCTTTAGTTCAGGAAAAAAAAAAACGTAAGAAAGCTCTCAGATTTCATTAAAACGATCTTCATTTGTGTTCCGAAGATGAACGAAGGTGTTACGGGTTTGAAACGACATGAAGGCGAGTAATTAATGACAGAATTATTTTTTTTAGATGAACTATCCCTTTAACGAACTCCTTTCAGTTCTTTACAGTAGTTTTAACGGGTCGACGCGCTAGAGGGCGCTGTGCCGCGCGGACGATCTTCGCGCGCCGGCAGTGCACGCGCAGAAGAAGAGAGCGCGCGACCAATGGAGCAGCGGTGGAGAGTTGCGGTCTTCTCCTGATCCCCTCTCTTTCTCCAGGACTGTCGAGTACGGAATATGCAGTAGGTGTTGGAAATCTTTACCAAACTGTAAAGCAGATGTTATATGAACCGGAATGACTTTGGTTTATTTGAGAATAGAGTGTGTGCAGAAGTGTGATGATGATGCTCGGTGATTGAGGCCGCGCGTAAAGTTGGACCTGCAGGATTTATTACATTTATAAATCTCATCTAAGGATATCGAATTAATTTATATGCGTTTTGGCTTGTCCGCGCACCCCCCATTGACTACCCAGAGAAGTAACCAGCTGGGAATGGCTGTGTCACATCATCTTAACGAGCTGTCTGTCTGCACAGCATTTTGAAGCAGTATAACGTTAGTCCTAAAGCTCCTCTGATAAAACATCAAATAAAATGTTCGATATGCCGATGATATGAGACATTCGATCGACAGTTTGGATTCGAATGTATGAACGCGCCGCGCAAAGTAACTGAATGTTCGAACGAAAATGAATCGAACGTTCGAAATTCGAATCTAATGTTAAAATACGAATGATGCATTATCGAATCAAATATTCACGCATACTTAAGTTCCTCTACTCAAAAACTCAGTCAAATATTCGATTATGTTTATGATTCTCTAACATCAGATATTCAAACAAGGTTTGAACTCACACTTTTGAGCATGCTCTTGATTCCCTAAAATTAAATCCGATATTTGAATGTGTATGATGCTCTTACATCGTGTCAAATATTCAATTGTGCTTGTTTCTCTAAAATCAAATCAGATTTTGAGCATGCGTGTTTATGATTCATTAAAATTGAACCAAATATTCAAGCATGCTCATGATATATTGAGAAACCATATAAAATGTTTAAGCATACTTTATTGAATCAAGTGTGCAATCTGTGCATATGATTTTCTCAAATCAAATAATATATGTAGGCATGCATGTATATGATTCATTCAAATTGAAACACAACACATGTTTATAATGCCCTAAAATCAAATCAAGTATTCAAGCATGCTCATGAAGCATTCTCAGGTCAAATGTTCAATCGGGCCGTGCATATGATTCTCTAAAAATTGAATCAGCATGTATATGGTTCATTAAAATTGAACCAAACATTCAAGCATGGTTATGATGCCCTAAAATCGAATCAAACACTCAAATTGATATGATTCCCACTGATGTGAATCGCTGCTGTGAGCGCAGATGCATGAATGTGTGTGTTACGATCTCTCTTCAGGAGATGAAGCGTGTCCGGCCGGAGCAGATCCAGAGCGTGGTGTCCCAGTACCTGAAGAGGAGACAGTACATAGACAATGATGGCTCTCTGAAGGGGGCCAAACTCTCCCAGTCCGCGGAGGAGATGGCTGCCAGTCTGACGGGTGACTCAACGTGTGCTGTGTGATTTAAATAAACCCTGAATAACAGTAATAGCTAGTAGTGGGCAGATCGAGGCTTCGTGCAACAGTTGAAGCAAATGTGTCGAGGCTTTGAAAACAATCACCCCTAGTGGTCAGAACAGGGTAAATGCAACAAAAACTCAGGTTTTTTTGAAAGGTAATCGAATCATCTATCAATATATCCACTAAACAGGCCAATAAGAGACCAATAAGAATTGCACTAATGTTTAATTAAAATGTATACAGATGTATAAAACTGAACAGAGATCAGGTAAAACCCACAGCCACTTGTTCATTGTGACTCCTCATAATTTTTATTTATTATGCTTACTAACAAAGATGGCAATCATAGCATACAATTCTGTTAGAAAATTGCAAACATATCTGTACAAAATATGACAACAATATGTACGGAGTCATCTTAACACAAGTGTGTAACTATCTAAAATAAAAAAGTAGAGGAAAGAAAGAGAAAAAAAATAAAATACAATAAAAAATAAATAAATAAAATGAGGGTCAAGAGGGTAAGATATTCTATTGACGTCATTTTACAGTGCCCCGCCCTTTTCCGCCATGTTGGTAGGATTCCCACGACAAAACAGTATTGATTACGTGTGTTTTTAGCTCGGTAGTAGAGGAGTTTCTCGCAATACCGCACTGTTTTACCATGCCTGGAAGTAACTGCTGCGTTAAAAACCCTGGTAACCGATAGCGTCACCTACCATCATGGCCGACCGGCTCAGACCCCGCCCAAATAGGCACGTGACTCCTCATTCTCAATACAAAATTTAGAGTAGGTCTAACCAAATTAAAGTCATTACAAAATAAAAGTGCTTTTATTGCTTTCTTATTTACTGAGGATGAGATGGTGACTCCTCATAATTTTCGGGTTGACATAGATCAACAGTTATGACGTAATGAAGCCTCGTTTGCTGAAATCACGTGCACGAACCATTGATTTGTAACAAAAGATTCGTAAAGCGTTGTTTTGAAATTGCCTTCACTAGTAATAGCGATGCTCGTCTTCACCCTCTCTCTCGTCCCGTCGCGTGCAGTTCAGATGGAGTCGAGCTGTGCGAATGTGGTGTCGGCCGCCCCGTGTCAGTCCGACCCGCTGCAGTACGAGACCCAGTTCTCCAGACTGCGCTCCTTCCTGCAAGGTGAGACACACACACACACACTGCTTTAATCCACAGGAGGAAGTGCTCTGGTTTTAACTAGCGTTCTCTCTGCCTCAGAGGCCGAAGCGCCGCTAGTGAAGGAGGTGAGCGGCATCTTGTTTCCGCTCTTCCTCTACCTGCACCTAGACATGGCGCGCTGTGGCCTGAAGGGGGCGGTAGACTCGTTCTACGGGCGCTTTCACTCGCTCTTCCAGCAGGACCCTGAGCAGAAAGCCATCGTGGACCTGCTACGAGGAGCCCTCACACTGCAGGTCCGTTGGTTTTACTGTTGTTTTACTTGTTAAAGAGATAGTTCACTTAATTAATTTTCGGTATGTATTATCTTACCTCAAGGGCATCCGAAATGTAGGTGTCTTTGTTTCCGCAGTATTTTCAATTTTGATATTTTTAGGTCAAACCGTTCTTGTCTTCAGTCATATAGTGGAGGTCTATGGTCACCACCTCAAAGAGCATGCACAGAGAAGTCCAAATTAAACATGATTTAATGACTCGTAAATGTAAGTACACATTGATGGCCTAAGACACGAAACGAGCGGTTTGTGTGAGAAAACGAACAGTATTTATATCGTTTTACCTCTTGTAATCACAGCCATGTCCAAGTGATCTGAGGGCGAGGGTGCTTCTATCTGCTATATCTGCTGAAATACTGTTCGTTTTCTCACACAAACCACTCGTTTCGTGTCTTAGGTCATCAATGTGTACTTACATTTACAAGTCATTAAATCATGTTTAATCTGGACTTCTCTGTGCATGCTCTTTGAGGTGGTGACCATAGACCTCCATTATATGACTGACAGACAAGAACGGTTTGACCTAAAAATATAAAAATTGAAAATACTGTGGAAACAAAGACACCTACGTCTTGGATGCCCTTGAGGTAAGATAAAACATACCGAAAATTCATTCATGTAGTCAAACATTTTATCCCTTCAAACTCATCTTTGATCTCTTATATTTCATATTTAGATGTTTTTTTTCTTTCTTCATGTCTTAAAATATCTTGAATGTAACTTGACACCCATGCCTCATTTAGTATACACGTTTCTATGAATATGCAAATGAGCCCCGCCTCCACTCACTCACTGAGCTCAGAGATCCACTCGTTTAAGCAGGAAATACTCAGCAATGCCGTCGATTTATGAATTTACACATTGAAAACACCACATAGACATATAAACAACATTAAAAACTGGATTTTCACCACTGGGGGACTTAAACAGTTCATT